TCAAAGTATATTACAGAATAAGCTTTCATTCAAATATTTTATATTTCTGTCATTCAGTTCTCTATTATAAGTTTTGAAATTATATATATATATTAACTGTCTTTTTTTTAAAAATTTTCTCTTTCATGGACGCCATGTTATTTGGAGACTTGTTTAGGGACCAAGTTAATGGCCTTTTAAGCTTCCTTTACATGAATTACAGTAAAATTTTGGATATGTAATTTTTTATATTTTTGAATATTAAACCATAATTTTAGAAGAACCAATTAAATATTTATGGCCCAAAAATTGGAAAACAATAGGTTAGGGTTAGCTTGTTTTATTGTTTAACCTCTGGCGATAATTGGTGATGAAGGAATTTGAGAAAAAAAAATGATTTTAATACAGAACAATAAAAATATATACACATTTAACAGCAATGATTCTTACATATATTTAAATAGATATTTCAATTTTCAAAATGCAATTTTTGTAATGGCTATGCGTTGTCCGCGTGACCAAATTTAAAAATTAATTTAAACACAATTCCCAATATTCTTCACAATGGCAAAAAAGCAATTTCAATGACACACAATAACAAATGACATCAGAGAAGTCCGAACCAATGATTTTTACAACGCAAAAAGACATTGTGCATGTGTCAATTTTAATATATATTAAAATATATATATACTAGCAGCATGGCCCGGCGTTGCCCGTGCTTGAAGAAAAAAAAAATCGTACGACTGATACAGCAATCGCTATCACTTGACTTAAAATATTTTTGCCCTTCCTTTTTTTAAAAAAAGTGCCCTTTGCCGTGCTGATGTTTTACATGCCTTACTTCTTGCCTATCTCACACTGCGAATTTTTTCTAAGCTCTATACTAAACATTAAATCTGTTACGAAAAAAGAACTAAACAAAATGAACACAAAACGATCAGCTTTAAAAAAGACTCGTAACTGGAAAAACCGAATGAAAAAAAATCAAAAAATACTTTTCACATCCAACCCAGTTCTTCGGAATCAGAATCAACGTTGAGTTTAAGCAAGCGAATGAGCCAATTGGAGTAATTGCCATGCAGATTTAAATTTTTCCCACTTGTGACGAATGCAGCTAAATTTTTTTTTTTTGCATGCTAGTTAATATTCGTGTCAGTCAGCTGTTGGCTCTCACGCTGGCCAATAGAATCTTCCTGCCTATTCGTGGCAGCCAGCTATTGGCTCTCACTCTGGCCAGTACAAAATGGCCGCAAACTACATGAAAACTGCCGTAGAAGCATGAAAAATTTCCACTATCGATGGGAGTTGGGAAATACAAAGTCGGTCTTGGCTTTCCCGCTAACTTGGAGCATGTGCATTTAGATTTTGGTGCAAATCCGTCGAAAATTTCAGCCGTGCATTCGTCACACACACACACACACACACACACACACACACACACACATCCTGCCTTACTCTATAAAATATATTGTAGAACAGGTATATTGACCTTGACTTGTATAAAAATACGTATATTGTTGGCTCACTGAATGATTTTAAAACCCTAAGTCGGCACATAATTAGCAAAAGGTTACCGACCCCTGGTGTTTTTACATTCCGTATTGTCCGTTAGGGGGCACGGTGGAGTAATGGATAGCGGCTCGAAGGAATCGGAGAGCCGAGTTCGAATTTGTTTTCCTTGGGTCAGCAATCCTTGAATATCGAACTGGTTAAAAATTTGCAAAACTAATAAAACATTTTGCTTTTCAAAACTAGTGAGAGAAAGAGACCTTGAGGTCAATTTATAGCAATATTTCAAAATTGACTGAGATTCCAGAACATGAGCTTTCTGTAAAGTACAAAATTGGCACTTTGGATATTATCTAAATTATCATTTCCATTACGACAAAATTTTGGGAACATCAGGCATTTACCCGCATCTTTTTGACTAAACCAGTCGTTTCTAATGTTATTTTAGTATATGAATTAAATCGAATATGGAGAAAAGAGGCCTAGATTTCATAATTGGATGTGGATATAAAACTGAAAGTTTTGCAGGACTACAGATGAAAGATATAGCTTTCTTATTTATTGCATTATTATTTGTTATGATTGATATTTAAAGGTATTTAATGTTTTTATCGTTTTCCCTGGACTCGATAATGTTCAGTCAAATGGTGCGTTCTTTTATACAAAGACAAACCACACTAACTAAAAGTTAAACAAAATATTCCTCGTTTCATGAATGACATTTGCCAACAGAGAAGTTATATATGCGTGTGAATTTATTTCTTCGTGTGTACGTTTGGTCGCGTGGCCGAGTGATTAGAACGTTCGCTTTCTGACTTAGGTTCGAATCTCAGTCGGTTTGTTATCGGTCTGGAGGGAGACAATCCCAGCGTGTGGCACCTTTGGAAAATTCCTGAAAATCAATCCCCACACATTGGGGAGACGGAACACTTAGGGACCGTCGATAGCTGTGCTAGCATGAAGTCACACGTCATCGTCACCGAACGTTTGAGTGGCGTTGTTCAGATTGTTCTTTTGTATTTCTTTAAGGCATGCACAAAAAGGAATCCTTTCAATAATTGTTACTGGAATTTTTTCAACAAACTTAGGGTTCCAAATACAAAGGGATTTTTGATGTTCCCATGTGCCGCATTTTGAGATTTCGATTTTTTTTTATTATTATTTATTATTATTATTTGTTTAAATTATCATTATTATTTGTTTAAATTATTATTAGTAGTAGTATTATTTGTTTAAATTATTATTATTAGTAGTAGTAGTATTTGTTTAAATTATTATTATTATTATTTGTTTAAATTATTATTAGTAATATTATTATTTGTTTAAATTATTATTATTATTGTTTAAATTATTATTATTATTATTATTATTATTTGTTTAACTAAAGGAAAAATGATTCCCACTTGCTTTCATGCAAACATCAATGAAAATAAAATCAAAATTCGCTTATTTCGGTATCACGCCCTCTGGTGAGAATCATTATCTCAAATGAAGATAACTCTTATCAAACTAGTGGCGTCACTCAACTGGTTGATCTGTTAGTCGTCAGATTATGGATAAAGGACTGCCAAAGTGAATTAGCGTCGTTGGGTGTTGCACGATACTTGAATTGTGACCCCATCCCCCTCCTCATGATTGAGGAAGCATGATCTTTTCACGAACGTTGTGTAGTTCCGCACGATTTCGTCTACCAAGCCATCATATCTATCAGGATTATTTAGACGAGGATCATGACCTTTGGGCCTTGCCTCCTTACTATGTGGGAAGAAGGGTAGATGGGGTGTTTCTAACTGCAGAACTATCGGCTGTCGTTCGAATTAAAGGTGACTTTGGTCAATGACTCTGTTAATGGCGTTGGTGGGATGGAATGTCTTAATGGAGAAAATATCAGCGATTAGCATCCTATAAACTGTGGGATTTTCTTACCTCAGCTCCTGGGTTATTTATGGCTAAATAGCGAGAACAAATATTGCCAAACTTCGTCCGTCTTAATAATTCAGGTAATAATTGTGAATCAAGCGAAAGCTGTCAAAAATGCTATTTTATGTATTGTCAATAACTAGTCAAAATAAATTAATGGTAAAAGTGTTCATCTTTAAAAGTCTTCAGCAATATCAACAGGTTCGTTTGATTTATTTTGTCAGACACTCTCATTTTCCTGAAAGGAAGTTTTTTTTTTTTTTTTTTAGGAGAGCGAGAGTTGCTTTGTTGAACATTTCTGTTATTAAATGGATGTGTAAGCTCCATCAAATAGATATTGTATCTCAATCAACAAAATTCTAAAAGCAATGCGTAGGACGTCTGATTGTATGTTTGGATGTATACAACTTGACAATTGTCACATTATTAACACATTTGTAAACTTTTAAATAATCGTTTATTTTCTTTCCTTTTACGTCTGAATTCGTTACTTCACTTTGATATTTTTATTACTTTCTTATTCTCAGCCTTTTCTTTGTATTTTTCTTTACAGTCATTTTTTTCGGCTGCTTTTTCTTCCTCGCTACTTCCCCTATTCATTCTTCTCATCAGTACATTTATTTTTTGTCAGCTCCTACTCCCACGATCCTTCCCCTATGTATCCTTCTTTTCATTCCCTTTTTCTTCGTCAGCTTCTTCTCCTTTGTTCCTTCCCCTTTGTATTTTTCTCCTCTTTTCTTTAGTTACATCTTCTTCCTCTTTCCATCACCTTTACATTCTTTTTTTTTTTTCAGCTATCCTTCTCCCACCTTCCTTCCCCTTTCTTTTTTTTCCTTCCTTCTTCTCCCACCTTCCTTCCCTATGTATTTCTTTTCTTTTCTTCTTACCTTCCTTCCCCTAGATTCTTCTTTTTTCCCTTCTTTATCCCACCTTATTCCCCCTATGTATTCTTCTTTTCCTTCCTTCTTCACCCACCTTCCTTCCCCTATGTATTCTTCTTTTCCTTCTTTTCTTCTCCCACCTTCCTTCCCCTATGTATTCTTCTTTTCCTTCCCTTCTTCTCCCACCTTCCTTCCCCTAGATATTGTTCTTTTTCTTCTTTTCCCTTCCTTTTTCTATTCTTCTCCATTTTCCTTCCTTCTTCTCCCACCTTCATTCCCCTATATTATTCTTCTTTTCCTTCCCTTCTTCTCCCACCTTCCTTCCCCTATGTACTCTTCTTTTCCTTCCTTCTTCTTTCCTTCCCCTTCTTCTTTTTAAACCTTCCTTCCCCTATGTATTCTTCATTTTTCTTCCCTTCTTCTTCTTCTTCCCCTTATGTATTCTTCTTTTTTTTCTTCTATCATTCCCCTATGTATTCTTCTTTTCCTTCCTTCTTCTCCCACCTTCCTTCCCCTATGTATTCTTCTTTTTTTCTTTTCTAACCCAATTTCTTTCCTTCCCTTATGTATTCTTCTTTTCCTTTTTTTCTTCTCAACCTTCTTTCCACCTTCATTCCCCTAATTCTTGTATTCTCCCCTTTTTTCTTCCTTTCTTCTCCCACCTTCCTTCCCCTATGTTAAATTCTTTTTTTCTTCCACCTTCCAAATATGAATTCCCACCTTCATTCCCTTCCTTCCTTTATTATTCTTTTTTTTCCTTCCTTCTTCTCCCACCTTCCGAATTATAAATGTATTCTTCTTTCCTTCCAAATTCTTTCTTCTCCCATTTATTTTTTTTTTTCCTTCTTTTCCCCTATGTATTCTTCTTTTCCTTCCCTTCTTCTCCCACCTTCCTTCCCCTATGTATTCTTCTTTTCCTTCCCTTCTTCTCCCACCTTCATTCCCCTATGTATTCTTCTTTTCCTTCCCTTCTTCTCCCACCTTCCTTCCCCTATGTATTCTTCTTTTCCTTCTTTCCCACCTTATTCAATTATGTCTTCTCCTTTTTTTCCCTTCTCCCACCTTATTTTCTTTTCTTTTCCCTTCTTCTCCCCCTTCCTTCCCCTATGTTCTTCTTTTATTCCCTTCTTTTTTTTTCTTTTCCTTCTTCTTCCCACCTTCCTTCCCCTATGTATTCTGATTTTTTCCTTCCCTTCTTCTCCCACCTTCCTTCCCCTATGTATTCTTCTTTTCCTTCCCTTCTTCTCCACCTTCCTTCCCCATGTATTCTTCTTTTCCTTCCTTCTTCTCCCACCTTCCTCCCCCCTTCTTTTTCCTTCCTTCTTCTTTTTATTTTTTTTTCCTTCCCTTCTTCTCCCACCTTCCTTCCCCTATGTATTCTTCTTTTCCTTCCCTTCTTCTCCCACCTTCCTTCCCCTATGTATTCTTCTTTTCCTTCCCTTCTTCTCCCACCTTCATTCCCCTATGTATTATTCTTTTTCCTTCTTTTTAAAATTCCCCTATGTATTCTTCTTTTCTTCTGGAATCTTCCTTCCTTCCCCTATGTATTCTTCTTTTCCTTCCCTTCTTCTCCCACCTTCCTTCCCCATGTATTCTTCTTTTCCTTCCCTTCTTCTCCCACCTTCCTACCCCTATGTATTCTTCTTTTCCTTCCTTTCTTCTTCCTCGTTTCTTCAACTTTACATTCTTCTTTTCAGTCTCTTTTTCCTCAGCTGCTTCTAAGATCAATTTTTCATTGTCATTTTTATAAACTGATTTATTCAAAAGGTTATCCTCATTTTGCTTGTTACAGTCATTACGTTTCGGCCTAATATAATTTTGAGCCGAACATATTAATTTCTCCAAGCGGGTAGTCCTTTCTTCTTCCGTTTGTGCTGGGTGAGATAGGCCGTATTTGCCGGGTGAGATAGGCCGTGTTTGTTAAATTCTCTTGTTTCAAATTTTGATAATGTTATTGTTGTGGATTCCGTGATGAAATTCGGTCTCCAATGAATGACAAACGCAATAATTAAATATAAGAAATTAAATGTATTTACACAATAATACAAAGGGTAATACTGTTAGTAAATCCAGGAACGCGATTAGTAGCAATAACATATAGATATATACAGTTCTCGAAGTAGGACTTCCGTAGAGTCTACGTGCTTGTAACTGACTTCTACAAGCGGTTACCTCACACTATTACTCTACCTCCAACTCAATCACAATCTCAGTCTTCTTACTATCCCTACTCAGATTGACCCTGGGTATTTAACGGCAGCAGTCCAAGTAACACTCTAGTAGAGTCCACTTATATGAAAAAGGGGAGGACCCCCATAACAGTTATCTATGTGACTTTTGTTCAACTGATATAGAGTATATGAATTTTCTTTGACTGAACCAGAGCTTGATCTCACAATCCTAAGCTTACATCTGTTTCGCTACTAACCTCTGTTACACGACGAACATTCGTGTCGTCTGCGCCAGTCGAATGAGCAAAAGGAACATTTGAAGCGCAAATTCATTCGGAAGAAATAACTGCAACGAAATATTCTCCAGCATGAACGCAAAGAATCAAGGAAAGGATTCAGCTAAAAATTTTCAGAATGTTACCAAAAGTGAACAGAAGAGCACCGGAGAGTAGGAAGGACAAATCGTTGTTACAATAATAACTAAGATGATGTGAGCTGCTAGAATAAATCAGTTTATCATTATTTACTATTCCAATTGTAAGGCTCAAATCTACAACATTATTAATTTCTTTATGTCTATTGCAACTGAGAGCGATACGCGAAGCCCTTGAACCATTGCGAAACAGTGCTATGCAAATCAGATAAAACCAGTTCACACCTATTTTAGAAATCTATAAACGAAGTCATTGTTCTTCAGTTTTTACAAACCAACGATTTATTCATACAACACGATTTGATTATTATCCAAGAAAAAAATTGCATTTCTCTCTCTTTGCAGGTAAGTTTTGCTGTTGAGGAAGTCGTTTATTAAATGGAGTAAGGTAAACTTCTTTTATTTTCCTTCGTCCATCAATTGACGCTAGTTTGTTTTTTTATTGTCCTGCTTTTTTATTGTTTCCTATCGTTTCTTTGGTATTTTTGTTTCTCCTTTTAAGATAGTTATTGATAAAATTTCTGAATTTAATTTGACGACAAAAAAAAAAAATTGTGGAAAACCTTCTTTTAATATTCAGCGTAAAATTTCAACTCTTATTATGAATTTATTATATTATATATATATATATATATATATATATATATATATATCAAAAAGAAGAGGGGTGCCGCAAACGTTTTTGGTTGTAATGTGGATTTATTGAGAAAAAATATTATACTTATTTTCTCTCGTTGGAACCACTACAACATATTTCCTTTATATATATATATATATATATATATATATATATATATATAGGTATGGCTATGTTAAATTAATAAAAAAAATTGATAAAATTATTCTTAAACTAATGGAAAATATCTTTTTTAATATTCTGCATAAAATTACAAATCTTATTATGAATTTATTATATATATATATATATATATATATATATATATATATATATATATATATGCATGTCTGATTAAATAAATTACAGACATTATGTCTGCTTATTTTTAGCATAATCCGTTTATACTCACAGATAACCTTTCGTGTATTGCAATCAAATGATGCAAGGAATGCACTATAATTGTGAAAATCGCTTTTATTTCCCAAGTACTTTCCATCTCCTTCTGATATTATCATCATGGGTGCAAGTAGTAAGAAAAAATTGTTTGTTGCTATTCATTAATGACTTTTATTTCTTTTTACGTTTAAATGCAACAGTTGACAGTTATGCTTTAGAACGTGAAAAAATTATCCACTCATGAAATTTATGTTTGAATGTCATGGTCAAGCGAACATCCAAGCAAGAAAATCTGTTCTTTTTATAGTAATTTTAGAAGATTATTACAGAATTCATAGCTGATTCTATTCAGTTGCGGCTTCAATCTTTTAACGTAGATTGCTTCGAGGATCTGTAGTTTTAAATTGCTATTATCTTTTCTTTCTTTTTTTTGGCGGGGGGGGGGGGTTTAAGCAACGCTTCATATGAAAGAAAACTTTTCTTGCCATTAGTTAACTGTTATGTCAAACTGTTTGTTGAGAATATGGGTCTTTCCGCGTGGTGGACCTAAGACGGAAAAAAAAAAGACGAGCATGCTGTCTCTTCTTTTTTTTGTATCGTCTTCGCTGAGGAGGAAGTGACGTAAGTCGTTAATGATTGGTCGCTTGTAATTTCAAGATCCGCAGTGGCAGTTACTTAATGTGTCCATTTGTTGCGTGCTTGGCGGATTTTTTGCTTCGGTAGGGTCTCTTGGGCGAACAAGTATGATGTTGCAAGACCCGAAACTTGTCATGACCCCAAGTCATAACATCACTGACGAGACTATACTGTGCACTCGGAGTGTTTTCATGACAAATTGGTGTAGCATAGTTATGCTATCAATCAGTATTCTTCTATACTGAGAATGTGGACAGAAATGTTGGAGTAAATGTCACGCAATGGATTTTTCTGCCTAAATACGCACAAATACATACATATATATATATATATATATATATATATATATATATATATATATATATATATATATATATATATTATGAAATGGACAAAGTCCGACAATTATTTTTAAGACATTGTTAAAAAAAACGTATAAACATAAAAATGTCTTAAAACTAATTGTCGGACTTTGTCCATTTCATAATGTATGACGTCATTTGTTTATATTTAGATACGCATTGGGCAGATATGAATGTACGTGAGAGAATCATGGAAGACTGTAGTTTAAAAGCGCTAAAATCGACCTTGCTAACCGAACGATCCGCTGTGGCTCGATCGGTTAAAGCACGTCAGGCTATATGACGGTTCCGTATAGGATACAGGTTCGATTCCTGTCGGAGGACGAATATTTTCGATGAAAATTTCTCGGACATTCAGGTCGGTAAATGTTGTTAATACTCTTTATTAAAAACAGAGCATTTACTTAAATATTTGTATCTATAAATAGAATGTATAAACATAAAAATGTCTTATATATATATATATATATATATATATATATATAATTTCAATGCGTATATATATATAATTTAAAATGTTCTATATTTAGTGAGTAATGGTACTCAATATTAGATGAATAGCATTTATAGAAATAGACAGTGTGGACATAAGAACCAAGATTGCATGGTGACTGTCCGTTCTACACCGCAAGCGATGTTACACCATGTACGTGTACATAATGCTCTGAGGCGTGAAACTAACTATCTTTCTCACTCTATGTATATATGTGGGGAGAGAGAAAGAGTGAGAATTCCAACCCCCTCTGTCTGCTCGCTCAGTGCTGGTTATGAGTGTAAAATGGGGCGATGCCAATGACCATGCCGTTCTCAAATGACATAAATGCTGATGAAAATACTGAACCAGAAAAAAAGTGTCAACAAGAATGATGTTGACGACGACGACAACTTCAAAACTCGAGTAAAGGCGCCATTTTGCAGGCAGGAAATCAATATATGTGCAGCCATATTCTTACCAAATAAACCTTTTGGAGAAATCAAAGGACATTCAATCTAGACTTGATCATATACATAATACACTTTTGCTACCCCCCCACATCATACCACCGGCAAAAAAAAGCAAACTTGCCCGCTGATCTCGGAAGGAAGATGTTATGTTCCGCTTTCAAATCTTTACATAAAACTGACTTGATTGTCGTACAGAAAACTACAGGTGAGGAGAGAAGCATGCAGAAAGGGAAATAACTGAGACATCCGGAAGAGGCATGGCACGTGGAACTAGAAAATTCTAACTCCGGTGGACGACATAAAGGGTTCGATTCGAGATTCCATTCACCTGAAGAAGGCCAGAGTGTACAACAGCCAAAACGTTGTGAGTATGGCAATGAAGATGAAGATGACAGTTTGAATAATCAGAAGACCTTATCTCAGAGATATAGACAGATATGTCAAGAAAAGATCACAGATCATCATTCTACCTTATGGCCTCTTATAAAGTGGCAGTAAGAGCTAAACAAAAATGGAGGAGTGATTAAAGAAAGTTAGAAGTTGAGGGCTTGGATTTATTTGCTTTTCCAGAAAGTTGAAATGATTAAAACAATACCACCCAAGCAGAAAGGACAAGGCCAAAACCAGTTATAAGAATTAAAATCTCTTCAATCCTGATGACAAGAAAAAGAAAGAAAAAGCCCCCCTCCCCGCCAAAAAGTCATTCAACGATTTGGTAAACGTTTAGGTTTTAGATATTTAAACATTTTTATATGCCATTCAAAGCAAATCCTGCCTTTTTGTTGCTCAAAGTAACTTCAGACACTTTACTGGCCCCTGTTGTCCTTATTCTGCCATCCAATCACACAAAAAAGACTTGTTAAATAGGTTACATTTCTTTTGGCCTTCAATATATCTTATTATGAGTGTTAAATTCTCTATGCCCTCTCTTCTCATCATGTGTCCCAGAAATTTGAGACCAAACAAAGAACGTATACCCAGTCAAATAGGAAGCATTGTTCGGTTAGAAATTACAATTACCTAAAGAAAACCGGAGCGTACAACGTCCGAAACGTTGTGAATATGGCAGTGAAGATGAGGATAACAGTCCGAATAATGCAAATAATGTAAGTAATCATAATACCTCATCTCAGAGATATAGAGGCCGAAACGTTGTGAAT